AAAACATTACCATTATATAATAATGTAGTCTCAAAACGTATTAACAAAAATAATTGGTAAATTTGCGATTGTAATTCATATTTTCTTTATTTTAGTTCGAAAGAGTCCATAGAAATTAATTAATAAAATTGGTTTCCTATCAATAAGTCATAAGATTGCATTTCAGCCACATACAATAATCAAAGGCAGAAATCTAATCCTTGCTCAACATTTAAGAGTTAAGGGATGTTGAACAACATTGTAAAATAATAATTTATTGTTTATTTAAAACCTTTCAATTTTCTGATGTCTACTATTTCCAGTATTAGTGTTATTATTACAAAAATAAAGGTTTTTTCTTCTTATTGTACAGCTATCCATTTATTTCTTTGATTTAATTTTCATTTTGTTACTAAAAATGTATATAATTTACACTGTTTTTCTGCTAGTATTTTTACAATTTACAACACAGCAACTGTTATTGCTTTATCGTCTTGGACAAATTTCGATTGTGTTTGATTTTGTAGGTTTTATTGTGTTTTTTCGTGGTTTTTAGTAGCATTGCTGCATTTAGTTATTGTCAAGTCAATTAGTGTCAAAGTCATAATAAATACATCTTTTAATTTTCTTCTCTCATTTATAAAGAATATTTTATTTCTGTGCTAATTTTATGTAATAATACGTCAATGCGCGTGCGCCCATACTTAATTTAGTACTAAAAATTGGTATCGTTGCAAAAGGAAAAAAATATTTTTAGTTCTAAATTTAGTACTAAATTAATAACTTGATTTAGGGCTAAATTTTAGTACTTAATTTAGTATTGTGACATACAGCCATTACGCGTTGTATAGTCGTAAAAGCCAGGGGGGGGGCACCTGCCCCCCCTTGCTCCCCCCAAACGACGCCCATGCTCATGTGTGACATGTTTATTCCGGAATGGTAATATTGTTATAGCGCAGACTACCTGAATTTTCAAATTCCCAACTATAAAAAATACTATGAATAATAATAATAATAAAAATAATAGACTTTATTTATGTTTTTTACAGTGAATAAATACATATAAAAAGGTACGCGAAGCTAAAATATACATAAATAAAGTAAGAAGAAATAAAAATGTTAGAAACATACAAATAGAAAAGATGAATAAATATATCTAACTAAAAACTGGAACTAAAACTAAAAATGAATACTTTTGATCATTTAGAGTTTTTGGGATCAGTCTGAGGATTAAATGCAACAGAAAAGTATTAAAAATACTTAAAATTGGTACTCTTATGTAAAAGTAAGTAAAACTGGAGGGGTAAGTAAAAATAGTAAATGAATGTGTAAATAGATTATTTCCTAGTTTCTATTAAATTGATAATAAATATTCTGTTACTATTTCTTAAAAATTGCTTCAAATGTTTTTTAAAATGAATTTTATTATTTATTAATTTTATTGTTTTAGGAAGTGAGTTATACAATTTGGTTCCAATATAAGAACATGCTTTTTGTGATAATGGCTTTTTTACAAATTACTCTTCAAGAGTTTGGATTAATAGAGGATGGCTTACAGTGTCGAAGGCCTTACTTAAGTCTATAAATAGACATAAGCAAGGCATTCCCTTTTCAAGAGATTCATGCGCTTTTTTTGTTAGGTCGAGTATTGCGTCTAGAGCAGAAGTTTGTGCTTTGAAACCGTATTGCTTATCCGATAACAAATTATATTTGAATATAAAAGATGTTAGTCTATTTTGTAATAATTTTTACAAAATTTTTGCTATGTGACTTATCAATGATATGGGTCTGTATTTGCTAAATGTTGTTATTTTCACCATTTTTGTATATCGGTATGACCACAGAGTGATTGAGTGCCTCAGGCCATATCCCTTTTTCAATGCAACCATTTACAATATATACAAGAGGAGACGATATCTGATCTGCACTTTTTTTAAATTCTGTTCTTATGTCGTCAACTTAAGGGGATTTATTATTTTTCAGGTCATGGATCAGATTGTATATTTCAGTCTCATTTATTGCATTAAATGGCATGGAATTGAGCAATCTTCTTTTTTTGTGTTTATATTGGGGGTCGATTTGAATTTGTTCAGCTAAAATTTTACCAAAACTCACAAATGTGTTATTAACACGTTAACTGCCGCACCAGAGTAAAAAGAACGTATCTTAGGGGCCACCAAAAAAATTGTTTATTTTCAGGTTATATTAAAGTGCAAGAACACATTTTGTGACAGAAAAACACAAAATAGTCTTAGGGGTTGAAGTTACACCCGTGAACCATATATAATTCACGCGGCCTCAGAAGCAAAATGACAGCTTCGGAGCCACGTGCATTGTATTTAATTCATTCATAATTTTGACAGCATTGACCTCCCACTCTAAAGGTATGCGATGTCCTCATGTTGAGCATAATGGACGATGATAGTATGGTTGATGTAGAAACCGAAAATGATAAAATTGTCAAAAAACTTAAATAATCCTAGACTATAACAACAGCAAGGGATTTATTGACATCTCAGATCAAATGAAAGCCTATTCAGCTGCACTAAGAAGTATACAAAATTAGCAATCAAGTTGATTACAGGTACAGCACTTGTCAATGCTTACATTATTTATAAAAAAATAATAGAAGAACATATAAGTATTACAAAATTCAAAGAAGAATTAAAAATAGGTCTTTTGGGTAAAGAAAAAAGAGAAGATGATACAGCTACAACCAGAGAATGCGGTTTGAAAAATATAGGATCACAGAGGAAAATATGTGTTGCATGTTATGAAAAGCTGAAACCTGAATTTAACAGAAAACTCCATACAAGTACGAAAAATGCGACACGTTTTATTGTATTGAATGTTCCTTTCTTAGGAATAAATCTATTAGATTTTTAGCTTTTGCTTTTAGTTTTGTACTATAATTCCCGTTATCACATTTAGTCTGTCATTATTTTTTGGACCAATGTACTTACATATATATTTTAGTTTATTTTTATATTACAAATAGCCATTCATTTTAAGTTCAGAAACTAATAAATAATCATTTTAACAATAAATACTTGTTTAATTAATTGGTTTTTTAAATTATTTTTACATAAATTTAAAAAGTATGGCCATATTTCTAAACAACAAGGACCCCGCAATAATCTTATGGAAATTGGGTTTCGGTCAAATTGTCTGAATTTTTGATATGTTGTAGATTTTGTCATCCTGAGCAAAGGTCTCCATGGGCATAAAGTGCCAAAATGAATATTTTGGCAGCTACGAAGCTGCCAAAGTTCCCCTAACTCCTTGCAAAACTATTCATTTTCAATACTATTTACAGATGTCAAAAGCATATTTTAATTATTGTAATATATAGTGTAATGTTTTTGAGTTCACTGGATTCAACCCTTATGTCAGATTGGACAAATTGACCGTTGACAGCTGTCAATTCATTGTCAACAAGGAATACAAAATTAAATATCCTCTTTTCACATTTGCCGCGTTTGAGAATCCACATCGGATGCATTTTTTAAATCTCGAGCGTTTTTTTATCCACATCGGACACATCTGTCCCATTACATTTACGTATACTGAATCACGTGATCAAATATTTACTACTTACTACATCTCAGATGCATCCGATGTGGATTCTCAAACGCGGCAATTGAGAGTTTGGGTTTTTGAGGTCACTGAATTCAATTCTCATGTCAGATTGGACATTCACTGTCAACGAAGAATAGAGAAGTAAATATTATTTGTTGACATTGGGAGTTTGGGTTCTTGAGGTCGCTGAATTCAATTCTCATGCCAGATTGGAAAAATTTACAGTTGATAGCTGTCAATTCACTGTCAAAGTAGAATAAAGAAGAAAATGTCCTCTTTTCACAAAAAGAGTTTGGGTTTTTGAGGTCGCTGAATTCAATTCTCATGTCAGATTGGACAAATTGATAGCTGTCAACTGTAAATTTTTTCAATATGATACTAGAATTAAATTCAGCTCCCTCAATGTCAACAAAGAATATTTACTTTTCTATTCTTCGTTGACAGTATATTGACAGTTGTCAACGGTCAATTTGTCCAATCTGACATGAGGGTTAAATTCAGTGACCTCAAAAACATTACCCTATATATTAGAATAATAAAAATATGCTTTTGACATCTGTAAATAGTATTGAAAATGAATAGTTTTGCAATGGGTTAGGGGAACTTTGGCAGCTCCGTAGCTGCCAAAATATTCATTTTGGCACTTTGTGTCCATGTAGACTTTTGTTCAGGATGACAAAATCTACAACATATCAAAAATTCAGACAATTTGACCGAAACCCAATTTCCATAAGATTATTGCTGGGTTCTTTTTAGGCCATCAATAGATTTTCGCTTCCCAGGCTCCACTTTTAAAGATCCCCTATGCTAGCCACGATTGCGTGCATATCCTACTATGCACGCGGCCTACAAAGCAAGAACGTTTTAGAATTATATATAATTCGCACGGCCCATTGGGCTCAAGGCCGTATGAATCATATTTAATGCATATGGCAGTTAACGTGTTAAAAGAATTTGCTATTAGTTGATTATCATTTAAAAGTGCTCCATTTTCGGTATTGATTATTTCGATATCGTTTTGTTTTTACTTCCGTCCACATAATGAATGATTGCTAATATTCCATATGTCGATGTAGACCTTTTAATTTGTTTAAACCTTGACATTTTTATTATTTTAATATTTAATACGATGCAAAAATTTGACATGGCAACACAATTGAAGTTCCTGTTTTTGCTAAGACTGTATCCATTAAGTAAGTGATACAATTATGATTAAAATTCACTAGAAAAAAATAATTATATGGCTTGATCTATGAACCACTACCATATCAAACTGAAACAATCATTGGTAAACAAAGTTACAAATATAATCCTCGTGCTGACCGAGTACCTTGAGAAAACCTCTACGCACGCCCACGACTAGGTACCTCTAAACTTTTTTCCGCTCGCGAGCAACCCGCGGACTGCACCGTCTCGCTTACGCAATACCGCTGGGTTCGTTTTCATTCGATTCGCGCATGTTTCGTTGTACACACTTGGATCCTCGAAGTTCTAGTAAAAATCGTCGGTAACACGAACGTCCTGCGGGGAAAACAGCCCCAGACTGATTTTTTGTGCCATTTTAAGTGATTTTTTCGGTTTAGTGTTGAGTTTGTTAAGGATATTCGTTGTTAAAGTTGTGACAGTGACTGTTTAGTGAGGTGTGTAGGCACATGTGGGCATTGGATAACTTTATTTAGTGCAGCAAGGTACATATTTGGTTTGTTTTTATGTTGAAATTTTGGAATTTGTTCCACTGCTTGTTTCTACATTTATTTTTTTTATTGACATCACGTATTTATATGTAATTACGTAATTTAATTGGCTCTAGAAAAGTATTACTTAAGAGAGATCAATTTGCGATAAGAACAGTAACCCACCACCAAATATACCAATGTTAACATTTTTGGATTTTTAAAATTTTGCTTTTATAACGTTATAGAATCTCCTTCGTAAATGCCTCGTCTTTAGAATCAAACTAATTTATTATCGAGGTGTGTATAACATAATATATACAGAAATAAAAAATTTAAATGATTATATATTAATAAACAAACAACCCTGGAAATTGAGGTTGTCATGGAGTTATAGGAGGGGTGAGACGCATTACTAACAACATAGAACTTTAAAAATTTAAATACTAAAATGGTTATGAGATTATATAGGTTAAGAAAGTTAGTATATTTACGAAACTAATATAAAATATTAAGAACAAACATGACGGGCGCTCTTCCGCCAAAAATCAATTTTACATTTGAGGCAGTTAAAAAAATTGTAAAAAATATGGTTCAGGCCAATCGTTCTAAAAATGAACCAAGAATGACGCTAAATCGCGAAAACCTTATATTTTTAAAGAAAAACAACAAAAATTTCAACTTTTTAACAAATTTAATTTTTTCGCTCTTTAGCGTCATTCTATAACAAATATCTTAACTATTTTCTAAATAATTTTTTTTAAAAAAGATTACCAATTTTAAACAGAACCAAAGATTAACATAGTTTTCATTCCGATAGTAATTCTATTAAAACAATGATACCAGTGAATATGGCAACGCTGATAGTCTATGAAGCCCGTGGTTAAAAGGGTAGCTGCTGTTTAGTTAAATTTGTTAATTCCTGTGTCGAAAAATAGGTAGTTGTTTTTGAAGAGGTGCGAAATTATTGTGATCGTCTTAGTTTGTTGTTGAGGCGTTGTTAGGTTTTTGTTTAATTTAGTTTTTAGTTAATTTATGAAATGAAAAATTCTGGAAAGGAAAAATGCTACCACAGCTGACAAATTTCTATTTTAATTGTTTGCTGCCAGAGTTAGTAAATCCTAGATAAATACGACATGTGCCAATTAGGGAAAAGAGATTGTCAAGAATTTTGCCCGCTTAAAAAATGTGCAATATACAGGGTGTTTCTAAATACATGCGACAAAATTCAGGAGGTGATTACTCGTATGAAATTAAGATGGGTCTTTCCTATAACAAAATTTCCTCAGCCCATCCCTTTTCGAGATATCACCCTTAAAAGATGGTGACTAAAATAGAGTTTTTATTTTTTTTTTCTAAAATTTCAGTAAAGCTAGAAACTTGAAATTCTGTAATCGCAAAGGACTAACCACGGGTATTTTTTTCAATATTTCTGTTACATTATGGGGGGGGGGGGGGGGTGAAATTAACAACACTTACTTTATTTCATATCAAAACTTTTTTTCGAGATAAACTTTTATGAAATAAAATTATAACTTGAAATCCTTGTTTTATTTAATTTTTTTTTATTCTTGAATTTTTTCCCAAAACCAATAGCTTCAGAGAAAAAAAAATTAACACCCTAATTTATCATTTTTTTTTAATAAATTGAGTGGAAAACAATTTTTTTTTCTATGAATGTATTGGTTTTGGGAATTTTTTTTTTAAATAAAACAAGTATTTCAAGTTACAAAATTATTTCATGAAACTACATCTCGAAAAAAAAGTTTTGATATGAAATAAAGTAAGGGTTGCTAATTTCACCCCCCTATAATGTAACAGGAATATTGAAAAAAATAATTGTGATTAGTTCTTTGCGAGTGCACGAAAATTACAGAATTTCAAGTTTGCTGAAATTTGGTATATTGGTAGAGTTTTATGTGGCAAAAAAATGGTATTAAAATTTTGTCCGATAATAATACATAGGCGTAGAACTTGCACCTTTAAAAATTCTACGCCAATGAAAGAAAAGGAGTTTGAGTATGAAATTTAGATTGCGCAACTCATTTAATTTAAAAAAGGTACTCTTGATAAGACTCGATTACTCTCATGGTTTTCGCTAAATTTCTGTTTTAATAATTTAGAGTGTATAGGTTTCACAAAAATATTTATTTACAACATACTCAAAATAGAGATTTTACAAAAATTGTTCAAAATGTTCACCATTTTCACGCATACAAAGATTTATACGTCGAAGAAAATTAAAATGTATCCTTTCCATAACTTCTTCATCACCTCTAAGATTGTTTATTGCATCTTGAATACGTTGCCAGAGTTGTTCCTCATTTTCTACAGGTTCCCTGTAAACAGTGGTTTTCAGATGTCTCCATAAAAAGTAATCCATCGGTGTTAGATCTGGGGAACGTGGTGCCAGTTTACAGGTGCGTCATTACCTCTATGGTGGAGCTCCATCTTGCATAAACCACATATCTCTCCAAAGTTGGAGAGGTAAATCTTCTAACAATTCTGGCAACGTATTTTGTAGAAAATCCAAATAATTTTCTCCAGTTAATCTTCGTGGAAGTATGACAGGACCAACAATGAAATTACCAATTATTCCAGCCCACACATTAATTTTGAATTCGTGCTGAAAATGGTTTACCTTTATTGCATGCGGATTTTCAACGGCATAAACATGTTCATTATGGGTATTAGTTATACCTCTTCTTGTAAAATCCGCTTCATCGGTAAAGAGAACCTTCTTGACAAAGTTTGGATCTCTTTCTCTTTGCATATTAACAAATCGACAAAAACCCAAACGAATTTGAGGATCATGGACTAATAATTCTTGTACTGGCTTCTTATGGTATGGATATAGCAATTGTTCTTTAAGCACTTTATGAACGACATCTTTACTTACTCCTAGTTCCCTTTCAATTCGTCTGGTGCTTAATTCTGGATCTTCTTCAACACGTTCTAAAATGTCTTCTTCAACTTCAGGAATCCTTACAAAACGTTCTCTTCCATTATCAACAGTGTTGGGAGCAAAGGAACCGGTCTTCCGAAGACGTCTCTCAACAGCAGCAAATGTTGGGTGGCTAGGTACACGACGATTTGGAAACCTTTCAGAGTACACCTTGACACTCTCTCGAGCATTTCCTTCACAAAATCCTAATGTCAGTAACATATCGGTATATTATGCATTGGTATATTGTACAGCCATATTAATAAACTACGCATTTGTTTTTTTAATTATTGAGTCAGATAGAACACTTTCAATCGTTAACAAGAGATTAGGTGTTAAAACTTGACAATATTTTTATTTAGATGAAACTATGGAAACCAACAATAAATGTTTTTGTATACGTATTGCAGGCAAATAATTAATATTCCTCAAAAAATCGTACATGGCAAGAATCGAGTATTTTTGTTAAAAGTCTCGATTAGAGGTGTTGAAGAAGATATGAAAAAAGTACATTTTTATGTTTTTCATCGTATAAAATTTTGTCCGATAATAATACATAGACGTAGAACATGATTTTATAAATAATTGCACCTTTAAAAATTCTACGCCAATGGCAGAAAAGGGGTTTGAGTATGAAATTTGGATTGGGTACTCATTTATTACAAAAAAGTACCCCTGATAACACTTGATTTACTCTCATGGTTTTGACAAAGTTTGTATTTTAATAATTATTGTTTATATTCTAAAATTACTAAAATGCAAATTTCGTCAAAACCATGAGAGTAATCGAGTCTTATCAAGAGTACCTTTTTTAAAGTAAATGAGTTGCGCAATCTAAATTTCATACTTAAACTCCTTTTCTTTCATTGGCGTAGAATTTTTAAAGGTGCAATTATTTAAAAAATCAAGTTCTACGCCTATGTATTATTATCGGACCAAATTTCAGCAAAATCGCATATGCCGTTTTAAATTTATATGGGAAAAATGATTAAAAAATTGTATCTTCAAGGCCCTCTGGAGCCTAAACGAAGCAACTTTGTACTAAGGTAATTTTATTTAAATCAACTTATTTTGGTCTAAGGAATATGTGGTATGTTTTTGTAAAGACCTTTTACAGCACCCTGTATATCAACAATTGCTACTGCTACTAAAAATCTAAATTTTAAATAAAATATAACTCCTAAATTAATAAACATAATATTCTAAATAATTTATGATTCCTTACGTCATGTTAACAAAAATTAAACAAAATTTCTGACCATTAATTTAATATTCTGTTTGGTACTTACATGTCTCTATTAGTTCTGCTGTCAACTAGTTGGTATTGCATATGGCATATGAAAATTTTGAATTTAATTTTTTTCCCAAAAGCTGCCATTATGAGGAATTTTCTCCACCTTTATTCCTGGAAAAGTCCAAACGCACAAAATGCAAAAATCGATTTGTATAATGTGCAGCTAGCCCTGAATTTGAAAATACCAGTTGTGGGTTCTCCTTAATGGTATTCTGCCGTGCTATGCCTGACCCCCGTATTTGAAAATATTTAAAAATGGAGGAATATCGATTGTAAATTTCCATTGTTTTGTAGCTTCAGCCAACCTTTACGTTATTAATAGTAGTTTTTTATATTAAGCAATAGAGGCTTTAAATCCTTATGTATACTTTAAAAAATCTTATTTTATAGGTTTTCCTGTTATAAAAACCCATACGAGGATTTTTTTACTTCTATTTTGCTAATTTTCTACGCAATAACCTCGTATTTAGCAAATACTGGTATTTAATCTGTGCCATTGTCGAATTTACTTAGGTAAATCATCGTATTTGGGAGATACCGGTATTTAATGTAGGAAATCTAGCCATTAAATAAATGAAATAGTACGACATGATTTTTTAAGTTACTTTATTAAAAAAAAAAACGAGAATAAAACGTGAAATTGTTAAATATTTGAAATACTTATAACTAATGGTAACTGAAGTAGGGGAGAGAGGGGTAAAATGATCCCCCTAAGAAAAAAACTCCCTAAAAATATTTTTAAAATTTCATTTTACATGGATAAGTCCCTAAAAGAAT